TATGAAATGATGAAGGGTCTTTTTGAAGAAAAAGATAAAGTATATGAACAAACAAAATGGCAATGAATACATATCTATCAACAATGGAGCCCTGGCTGGTTTGGCTCAGCGGTTAGAGCGCCCGCCTGCGGTCCGGAGAGACCTGGGTTCGGTTCCCGCTAAGGGCATGTACCTTGGTTGCAGTTTGTCCCCGGCCCTGGTTGGTCGTGCGGGTGGCAGCCACTCGATGTATCCCTTTCACATCGATGTTTCTCACTCTCTCTCTTCCTCTCTCTCCCTCCCACTCTGTCTGTACAAAAAATGGAAAAATGTCCGCGGGTGAGGATAAAAACAAAAACAAAAACAAAAAACAATGGAATCTACAAACAAAATGAACAGGTAGAACAGAAACATTCTCATAGATACAGAGAACATTTTGTTGGTTGCCAGATGGGAGGGGGTTTGGGGGAATGGGTGAAAAAGGTGAAGGGATTAAGAAGTACAAATTGGTTGCTAAACTGACAAACCTCAAAGGGAAAGGGGCTGGAGGGGTGGGGGGTGGGAAGAAATAAACCAAAGAACTTATATGCATAACCAATGGACAGAGACAATAGTGTGGGAAAAGGAGGGAGGGAGGCGGGAGTGGGGAGGAGGGAGTCAATGGGGGAAAAAATGTGGAACATCTGTAATACATTCTACATTCAACAATAAAGATTTAAAAATAGCCCTGGCCGGTTTGGCTCAGCGGTTAGAGCGTCCGCCTGCGGTCTGCAGAGACCCGGGTTCGGTTCCCGCTAAGGGCATGTACCTTGGTTGCAGTTTGTCCCCGGCCCTGGTTGGTCATGCGGGTGGCAGCCACTCGATGTGTCCCTTTCACATCGATGTTTCTCACTCTCTCTCTTCCTCTCTCTCCCTCCCACTCTATCTGTACAAAAAATGGAAAAATGTCCTCGGGTGAGGATAAAAAAAAATAAAAATAAATAAAATATATATATATACCGTATATAATTTGGAAATATTTAGAAATAACTTTCAGAGTTTCATAATTTGTTACTCCTCAGATTTGAAACCTAAAATGAGATGTTCCTTTCTGATGCCACTAGGTGTCAATCATTGTCAGACTGGGGATCTCATGTAGCAAAGTGCAGGAGCAAATTCATCTTTGAATCTTTTACCTGGGAGCAGTAGTTTTATTTCATAATAGAAAACATCTGCTCACTAACACAGGTGATTCCAAACATGGACAGAATCTTTGCACAGTTTTTATATTTAGGGTAACCATTCCCAAGATCTTTGTAGAATTCTGGGATTCCAACATCATCATATTTAGTTTTCAGTATAGTGTTGCACTGCAATTCAATAACCTCCATTTGAAGCTCTTCATTCACATTAATATTAATTGCGAAAGGTGAGATGAATAGTATTAATTCGTTTTCATAAAGTTTGAAATCAGAGAACCTTTTTTGGAATTCAGTCTTCAACTCTTTAATTTTTGGAACATAATTCAGGCCATCACTTTCACTTTCAGAAACTAATTTCAGTGTCGGGAAGTGGGCCAGATTGTTCCTTGCCAAATGAGTTTCTCAAAGACACAACGTCTCTAGGAAAGAGACGTTTCATACATTTGTGTAACCACTTGTGAACACCCCTGCAGAGCAACATCCACTCTATCTAAGTAAGTCATAATGTCAACCAAAAAGGCTGGGTCTTTGACGAAATCTTTTTTTTTTTGGTATGTGCCCCTAGCGGGAACCGAACCCAGGACTCTGGTCCGCAAGCCGACACTCCAACCGCTGAGCCAAACCAGCCAGGGTTTTGACAAAAATATTTGCTAGTAAGCTGAGGCACAGATTTTCCTTTAGAAGACATGAAAAAGTCAATTTCTCCCAACAGTTCAAAAAATTGCCTTAGCATCACACCACGGCTCAGCCACTTAGGTTCCATGTGGCAGGACAGGTTTCCACACTGTCATCTAACTCACTGAACAAAGCATTGAACTTTCTGTGGGTGGAGCCATGGGAAAGCAGCCAGGTTATGGTGTAAATTACTATGGTCTATAACATGCTCCATTTTTAACTTTTTAGTACAGAGGGATTCCTGGAGAATGAGGCCATGTACAGATTTAAGTTCTGTGTCTTTGCAAAGCCCTGACACTTTAGATTTCAGTTTTGTAACAAATTGCTTCACACCAACCATTGCAGAATTATCATCTGTGCTAACACTTACTAATTTTGACCAGTCGTTAAATTTTTTTAAAGACTTTTCTCAACACATAAAAACAAGTCATTTTCTGATGTTGTGCCTGTCAGGGGTACCATAGCCACAAGTTCCTCAGTCACATCAAAAGTTTCATCAACACCACGAATAAATATAGCTAACTTAGGGGCACTATTTATATAAGTGCTTTCATTAGCTGCGATGGAGAAAGCCACAAATGATTTCACTTTTTCTTGCAATGTGTCTTATAAACTCTCAGTCGTATCATCAATATGTTGTGCAACAATATTACCAGTGAGTCTTATGTTGGCAAATGCTTGTGTCTGTTCAGGGCACAAAATGTCTGCAGCACTCAACAGACATTCCTTTGTAAACTCGCCATCTGTAAAGGGTTTTGATGCCCAGGCAATTTTCTCAACACGTAACTACATTTCATAGCTGCATCAGTTATTTTATTCACATTCAAAAGCAAATCATGTCGAAGTTTCAGTCTTTTTTTCAATTCATTAAGTTTTTTATCACGCATCTTTTCTGTAGATCCATCATGGTTATTACTATGATTTGTTTCATAATGGCGTTTTAGGTTATATTCTTTCAACACAGACAGACATTGTTTGCATATTAAACATGTAGGAACATTCTTTACCTCCACAAAGAAATACGTTCTCTGTTGGCCCGCGGACCACAGAGGCCCAGGTTCAGTTCCCACTAAGGGCATGTACCTCGGTTGCTGTTTGTCCCCGGCCCTGGTTGGGGTTGTGTGGGTGGCAACCATTCGGTGAGTCTCTCTAGCATCTATGTTTCTCTCTCTCTCTTCCTCCTTCTCTCCCCCCCGCTCTATCTCAACATAAATGCAGGAATGTCCTCAAGTGAGGATAAAAAAACAAAAAAAGAAATACGCTCTCCCCCATTTTTTCGAAATGTGTAGCTTTCTTGTTCAATCTTTCATTTTCCCATTTCTGAAAGACACAAATGCATGACAAATATTAAAATGTCATCTTTACTACTAGGGAAGAAAGTACCAATTTAGGAGAAAAGGTATTAACTATCTATTTGCCAGGAACGAGCCTGGAGAGCAGAGTCCCTGAGTTCGAGCAGTGGGAATGAAGACAACACAGATATGGGATCAGGTGGACTGTCCTCAGCGGGATCAGCCCCGATGTGCTTTATTACATGCCTTTTATACCTTACAGCAAAAGTTGAATGATATAAGAAAATAGGGTCTTCTTGACATAATGCCCAGGGCTACAACAATGCTGTATAGAATTAGTTTGCCTTGCGGATAACAGGAGTACCCAGGAACACCCAGTCTGTTATCTCAGGTATTTCAAGGTACATGGCTCACACTTAGCCCCGAGCTGCACAAACACAATGCAAGCCTAATTCCTTGAAATTGTGGGGGAGGTCGAGTCTCTGACTCAAGACCTCCAGGCTCCATGGACTCTGCCAGACTCATAGCTGGCTCCCAACATCTATTCAAGTGTAAGTGTGCTGTTCACTCCTTTAGAGTTGGGGAGAACTTCAAGAATGGTGGGGCTACATAAATAGAGAGTAAACACCACAAATAAGAGAAACCAGCTGCTTCTCTCCAGGTGACTGCGGACAGGTACGACTTCAGACAGGTGGACTGTAGCCATCGGACTGCCTGATTTCCTGATGTAGCAGAAGCTGGGAATCCCAATCTTTATGTGAAATTTCTTGATTTTAAAAAACATTCACAACAAATTGTATTGTTTTTCCCGTAAATGTTGTATAAGCCACCAAAAGGTTGCAGGTTTGATTTCCAGTTAGGGCACAAGCCTGGGTTTTGGGCTTGATCCCCAGTAGGGGGTATGCAGGAGGCAGCAAATCGATGTCTCTCTCCCTTTCTCTCTCTCTATAAAAAAAAAGTCACGACACACAATCAAGTATAAGAAGGATACAAAAAGAATAGTCAGGGATCTTATCTATTTCCAGTGAGAAAAGGTTTCTATCTTTTTTTTTTTTCTTTTTTTTTTAGAGAGAGAAATATTGATAGGCTGCCTCCTGCACAGGCCCTACTGGAGACCAAGCCCGCAGCTTGAGCACGTGCTCTTACTGGGAATTGAACCCGGACCTCTCAGTCCAGGGACAACACTCAATCTACTGAGCCACATGGCCGGGAAAGGCCTCTCTATATTAATTTAGGTACAGGCACACCTTTTTATTTTCCACTTCGATTTATTGTGCTTGACAAACATTGCCATTTTTATTAATTGATGTCAAGATCCTCCAGCAGCAAAAAGACTGCAACTCCTTTATTGACACACTCGCTTGATTACAGTGGCTGAAACCAAACCTGAAATATCTCCAAGGTATGCCAGTACATCTAAATAATTATTGTTTTTTAAAAAATTTATTTTTATTAATTTTTTAGACAGAAAGGGAGAGGGAGAGAAAAACATCAATGTGAGAGTGAACCTCAATTGGCTGCCTCCTGTACACACCCAACCAGGAATCAAGCCCACAACTTGGGCAAGTGCCTTGATCTGGAATTGAACCAACATTTTGGTGCACAGGACAACTCCCAACCAACTGAGTCACAGGGACCAGGGATAAACAATTATATTTTGATTAAGTCCATTCTTACTGCCTCACTCAGGAATTTATACCACCAACAATCAGTGCCAGGCACTGTTGTGAACATTTAACATTCTAATCTAATCGTCACAACACTGAGACAACCAAAGGAAAAAGGTTCAACTATTTAACCCAGCCGATTAGACTAGAAACATATCCATTGCCAGTTACACCTATCAATATCAGTTACCTAACACAGCACATACCTTTTTTACTGTCTTTTCCCTTTGGTTTTTCTAGTTTAATTTCATTGCCAAAATACTTTTAAACCAGTGAGTTCTAAGGCTTTTTCCAGGTCTTCAGCAGATTCAATATCCATATAGCCAAACTTCCTTCAAGGTGATAAGGCAGAGGACAAAAATTAAAGTTAAAAAAAAACAAAAACGAGCCACACGAACACGTATTCTAGGCAAGCAGCAACACTAATGTGATGGTGCAAACAATGATTAAGTTAAAAAGTAGCTACTCTATCCCTGGCCACTTTGGCTCAGGGGTTGGAGTGTCAGCCCATAGACCAGAGAGACCTGGGTTTGGTTCCCGCTAAGGGCACGTACCTCGGTTGTAATTCATCCCCAACCCTGGTTGGGTCATGCGGGAGGCAGCCACTCGATGTGTCCCTTTCACGTTTTCCTCTCTCTCCCCCTCCCACTCTATCTGAACAAAAAAATGGAAAAATGTCCTCGGGTGAAGATAAAAAAATAAATATACAATACAATATTGTGCTTAGGAGTAATGGCAAGAATGAACAGATTTCTTGGAAGCAAAATCCTGTATTATGAAAGCTACTCATAGAATATGCTGTGTTAAATATTTTCTCAGGGACAGGCAATCATTCATGGCTACCACTCTAGTATACAACCAGCCCAGAGAGTCCTTGGGAGGCTTTTTATCTAACCCCCATTGGGGCATGGAAGGAGTATGTTTGCACGTTGCCCACATCCCCAAACTCACCTCTGATGTATCTTGCAAACAAGAGCCCAGGAACTACCAATAAAACTCTTTACCATCTTCTTCATCAGCAGCAGCATCATCTGAGGCAGCAGCTTTCATCACTGTAGGCTCAAATTCATCCTCATCATCCTCTTCATTGTCGTTGTCATCTTCCTCATCACTGTCTTCCTTCTTGGCATTCTTGCTGTTCTTTCCTCCCTTGGCTGGGGTGGCTGCTCCCTTCTCACCAGGGGTTGCTACCAATGCTTTGCCCGGTGTGCCTCCCTTCTTCCCAGGTGTGGCAACTGCAATCTTTTTTGTTGGGGAAACCATCACCTTCTTTGCTGGAGTTGTGGTAGCCTTCTTGCCTTTTTTCTGAGGAATGACCACCTCAAGATTAAATAAAAACAAACATGAGTATTTTCAAACTCAAAAACAAAGCACAGATCCCACATAAATGAGTGCTAAATTAATCTGGGCATTGCTTTTGTTTTAAGACCACCTGCATTAGGTGTTTGCCAGCATTTTAAACTACAGGGTTAAATTACATGAATTTCTGTATACTTGGAGGTCACAGTCCTCACTCTCGGGTAAAATATCCAATCATAACAAACCCTTAACACTTCTAATACCTCTGGACCCAGACCTGTGAATTTGTGTACCTCATAGTCTTAATCATGTCAGCTCTGAAGCAGCACACCCTTAACGAACCCTTAAAATTCACTGTCAGGATCCCATCTGCTACTGTATGACCCTAGGCAATATTTTTTAAGACTCAACTTTTGTTCTCTTCTGGCAATAGCACCAATGGTACATGTTGTTTTAAGGATTACGAATTGATTTCTGTAACTAAAAGGCTCTAAGTGTTAAGTGTCATTAAATCATTTGGGAGAAGAATAAACTCAAAATGGATAAAAGACTTAAATGTGACTCATGAATCCATAAAAATTCTAGAGAAACTGTAGGCAACAAAATTTCAGACATCATATGCAGCAGAATTTTCACTGATACATCGCCTAAGGCAATAGAAACAAAGGAGAGCCCTGGCCGGTTTGGCTCAGCGGTTAGAGCGTAGGCCTGCGGTCCAGAGAGACCCGGGTTCGGTTCCCGCTAAGGGCACGTACCTCGGTTGCATTTTTTCCCCGCCCTGGTTGGGTCATGCGGGTGGCAGCCACTCGATGTGTCCCTTTCACATAGATGTCTCTCTCTTTCTCTCCCCCCCCCCCACTCTGTCTGAACAAAAAATGGAAAAATGTCCTCGGATGAGGATTAAAAAAGAAACAAAGGAGAAAATGAACACATGAGACTACATCAAACTCAAAAGCTTCTGCACAGCGAAAAATGCAATCATCAAAACGGAAAGTCTACCCACTGTATGGGAGAGCATAATTGCCAGTGATACATCAGATAAGGGGTTAATTTCCAATATATATAGAGTGCTCATATAACTCAACAAAAGGAAGACAAAGAACCCAATTAAAAAATGGGCAGAGGAACTAAATAGACACCTCTCCAAACAGGACATACAAATGGATAAGAGACATATGAAGAAATGCTCATCATCACTAATCATCAGAGAGATGCAAATTAAAACAACAATGAGGTATCACCTCACACCTGTCAGAATGGCCGCCATCAACAAATCATCAAACAAGAAGTGTTGGCGAGGGTGTAGAGAAAAGGGGACTCTAGTACACTGCTGGTGGGAATGCAGACTGGTGCAGCCACTATGGAAAACAATATGGTGTTACCTCAAAAAATTAAAAATTGAACTTCCATTTGACCCAGTGATCCCACTTCTAGGAATACACCCTAAGAAGCCTGAAACACCAATCAGGAAGAATATATGTACCCCCATGTTTGTAGCAGCACTATTTACAATAGCTAAGATCTGGAAACAGCCCAAGTGTCCATCAGTAGACAAATGTATAAAAAAGCTGTGGTACATATACACAATGGAGTACTATGCAGCTGTAAGAAAGAAAGATCTCTTATCCTTTGAGACGACATGGAGGGACCTGGAAAGTATCATCCTAAGTGAAACAAGCCAAACAGAGAAAGACAATATCATATGGTTTCACTTATTTGTGGAATATAATGAACATAACAGTCTGAGGAATGGGGTAGTCCCAGAGACGTGGAAGTGGGGTACAGACTGACAATCCCCAGAAGAGGGGGTGGTGGGGGAGAGATGAACCACAGAACTTATATGCATGTATGCATGAACAGTGGACATGGACAACAAACTGGGGACAGGGCAGGGAGGGAGTGGGAGGGGGTATCAGTGGGGGAAAAAGGAGAAACATCTGTAACAAAAATTAATTAATAAAAAAATAAATTAAAAAAAAAAATCATTTGGGGGGTGGTGGTATCAAGTTCATTAGAAGCTCAGTCTTAGAACCAGAGATAAAATTAGTATCAAATAGGCCAAATAGTCAATCCTTGCAAAATTAATACAAATTAAGAAGTGAGCAGTTAGCTTGATTTAAAAAAAACATCATCTACATGCAAGTCACACTCAAAGCTTTTTGTTGACCACCAGTTTTATCAGGTAATGTATTAAAAAACAAAACAAAACTTTTAGTTGTCTTTAGAGTAAGCAACAGAAGCATGAAAACGTTAATGTTAGCACAAAGGTAGGTGGCATTCCTCACTCCACATATGACAGTGACTCATATAAAGAACAGAGACCTGCTTGGGGGCTAGGAAAGGGATCTGGTAAGGCTAACCTCAGACCTGAACATAATGCTCAGACTGCCACATTTAAGACAGCTAGCTGTATAGGATGTTTCCTCATCCAGCATGTTGAAAATGGAAAAATGACTTTTAAAAAAAATATGTTTTTATTGATTTTTAGAAAAAAAGAGAGGAAGAGATAGAAACACTGATCCCACTGGGGACTGAGCCCACAACCCAGGCATATGCCCTCATTAGGAATCGAAACAGCAACCTCTTCGAGCATGGGTCAACGCTCAACCACTGAGCCACACAGGCCAGACTGAAAAAATGACTTAATACATCATCACACTAAGCCCTGCAGAGGGCACAGGAGGAGGAGACTCCAGATGTTTTCTCTCAGGCTCATCCAAATACCTACACTTACGGTATTCTGACAGGTCAATGAAGAGCTTGAGAAACACTCAACCCTTACAATAGGACATATATGAATGAACAGCATCTTATTTTTTTGCCAGTAATTTTTGCCAGTATTTTCAGACATCCAATGCCACCTGTTTTTACTCTCCACCCTACATTAAATTATGCATAATTACCTCTTCTCCACTGCTTTCATCTTCCTCATCATCTGACATTTCCTCATCTTCACTATCTTCTTCTACCTCCTTTGGAGGAGGAGCCATTTTCTTGGGGTCACCTTGATTTTTACCAGCCTACAACAGACAAGATTGTTAGCACATTAAGCCTCTCACATTTCAGACCACTCACATTTTGCCATCATTCTTCATAGCACAATCTCCCTTTCTCAGAACCCATACTGTTCAAAAAGATCACAACTAACATAAACTAACCTTAGATAAAAAGACAATATCAAAGAAGTGGTCTCCCTCACCCTGTTGCCTTCATTAAGCACACCTGTTTTATTATTTATTTATTTATTTATTTAATTTTGGTAAGTGCCCCTAGCCCCTGGGGCCTAGTGGGAACTGAACCCAGGACTCTATGGTCCAAACCGGCCAGGGCGCATACCTCCAGCCTGGCCGGTTTGGCTCAGTGGTTAGAGCGTCACTACGCCTGCAGTCCAGAGAGACCGGGGTTTGGTTCCCGCTGAGGGCACGTACCTCGGTTGCAGTTTGTCCCCGGCCCTGGTTGGTTGTGGGGAGGCAGCCGCTCGATGTGTCCCTTTCACATCGATGTTTCTCTCTCTCTCTCCCTCCCACCCTATCTGAACAAAGAATGGAAAGTGTCCTTGGATGAAGATTTTTTAAAAAAGCATACTTCCACACAGCCAGCCCAGCCTTAGGCCGGCTGTTGAGACATGCTACAATGTAGTTTTTTGTAAAAATAAGGCTTGATTGTTCACACACACACACACACACATTATACCTCCACAATCTACTATAAGGTACAATTCTTAACACTCAGCCTACAATAGGACCATTTCAATGGCCAACCACCCACAACCCTTCACCTGGGGGAAGCTAACTTAAAAAAGCTTTCGGGCCCTGGCCGGTTTGGCTCAGCGGTTAGAGCGTCGGCCTGCGGTCCAGAGAGACCTGGGTTTGGTTCCCGCTAAGGGCGCGTACCTCGGTTGCAGTTTGTCCCCGGCCCTGGTTGGTCGTGAGGGTGGCAACCACTCAATGTGTTCCTTTCACATCGATGTTTCTCTCTCTGTTCCTCTCTCTCCCTCCCACTCTACCTGAACAAAAATGGGAAAATGTCCTCGGGTGAGGATAAAAAAAAAAGCTTTCGGGAAATTCTGGCACCTCATCCCACCACTCTCCTCTGAATTTAATTTAGGGCATCTTGAAAAAATAAAATAAAATAAAATAAAATCAGCCCTGGCCGGTTTGGCTCAGCGGTGAGAGCGCCAGCCTGCGGTCCAGAGAGACCCGGGTTCGGTTCCGCTAAGGGCATGTACCTCGGTTGTAGTTTGTCCCCGGCCCTTGGTGGTCGTGGGAGTGGCAGCCACTCGATGTGTCCCTTTCACGTTGATGTTTCTTCCTCTCTCTCCCTCCCACTCTGTCTGAACAAAAAATGGAAAAATGTCCTCCGGTGAGGCTATAAAAAAAAAAAAAAAATCACGTCCTCCCCTGGAGGCACGTGCGTCAGGAGGCGGTGCCCCGCTGCGCGCCCCAGGAGTTTGGCCTCATCCCCCCACCCCCAGGCCCAGCGCCCCCTCCCCTCGCTCAGTCCCAAGTCTTCTCCCGCCGCAGCAGCCACCGCAACACCTGCGAAGCTCTTCACCTGCCAGGAAGGCAAAGCACGCGCGACCTCCCGCAGCATGGCGCCCTCCGCGCGCCGGCCCGCAGACCCTCCTCCCGCGATCCCCGGAATCCGGCCTCGGCGTCCGTGCTTGCGCAAGGAAGGCCTCTTACTTTGTGAGCTTCGCCATGATGGTGGCTAATGACGGCGGAGGGTGTGCCGCGTGAGTGGCACAGAGAGGCCCTAAGGAACCGAATGGCATCGCGACGGTCGCTGGTACTGAGGATCCGCACGTCACACTGACAGTTAGGGCTCGAGACTGAGGCGAAAGACGAGCCTGCCCAGTGATCGCCTCTGGAAAGGCGACGACTCTACCGTCGTGCCTCCATTTCAACCAACCAGAGTGCGCCCTCATACCAAGAGCCAATCGTAAATCTCTATCGACTTTGGGGGCGGGGCCTGGCGGGAGGGGGCGGGCCACGGTCGCCGGAGGAGAGGGTGAAGATTACGCTTCGGAGTCCTGGGTGGGATTCGCTTTGTGGTAGGCGGGCGCTGATTGGGCGGTGGACGCGCGGTCCTGGAAGTGCCCCCCGCGGCCTGCACTCGCGGAGCCTGCGCCAGGCAGTGGACTTTTTGGCGACGCGTGTGCGGCTCTACGGTTCCCAAAAGTGTCGGGAATCCTTTCGTCCTGGGCCGGGTTCCTGGACATCCCGGGTTCGCCCTCCACGCTCAGCCTCCCAGCGGAGAAAGGAATTTGCCCAGGTTTCCCTGCTGATGAGCCTGAGACCTAAGTTCACAGCGTCAGGGTCGGGGGCCCACCCCAGCCCCAGCCCCAGGGCCAGAGAATCCCCCTGTCTCCGGGAGATTCCCTCCCGGACCACCTACCTGAAGTTGCTTCCTGCGAGCTGTTAATAAAGGCAATTGGCCTGGCCGGTTTGGTTCAGCGGTTGGAGCGTCAGCCTGTGGTCCAGAGAGACCCGGGTTCGATCCCTGTGAAGGGCATGTACCTCGGTTGCAGTTTGTTCCGGGTCGTGCGGGTGGCAGCCAGTCGATGTGTCCTTTTCACGTCGATGTTTTTCTCTCTCTTCCTCTCTCTCCCTCCCACTCTGAAAAAAAAAAAAAAAGTCCTCGGGTGAGGATAAAAAAATAAAGGCAATCGGGTATGTTTGCAGTGGGCAGTGCACAAACATCATATTTCATCTCAAGTAACCTCAGTCACTAGATACTTCTCCAATGGGGAATTGGCTCCGAATGATAACTTTGGTGGTCACCGGGTGTTGTAAATTGTGGGGTGGGGAAAGGAAGTTGGTCAGACAGACCAGGGACCCACGCCTTGGACCACGCACAAGTTCTCTCTCTCTCTCTTTTTTTTTTACCTTCAACCAAGGACATGTTTTGATATTTTGTTGAGATAGAGTGGGAGGGGGGGAGAGAGAGAGAGAGAAACATCGATGTGAAAGGGACACATCGAGTGGTCGCCACCCGCACAACCAACCAGGGCCGGGGACAAACTGCAACCGAGGTACATGCCCTTAGTGGTAAACAAACCCAGGTCTCTCCGGCCGGCAGGCTGATGCTCTAACCGCCAAGCCAAATTGGCCAGGGCACAAGTTCTCTCTTTGTTATTTGGGACTAAAGCATCTATTAAAATGTGGTGGCTGAAAAGTCACTTTTACCAGATGGTCCAGGAGTAGGTCCAGGAGTAGGTCCAAGAGCCAAGGGACCGGTTCCCTTGAAGGAGGGAAGAAGACTTTGTCATGCTTTTGCCAGTTATTCCTGTAGGTCATTGGGGACAAACTAAATGGGTGCTGAGCTTAACCCAAAGCACTTCCTTGGTTTAGAGAGGGGTGGGGAATGCCAGGCTGGGCTTTGTAAGGCCTGCCAAATCATTTGGTCTGGCCCTGCCAAGGCAGCCGCAGGCTGTACTCGAAAATCAATAAACCTGGGACCTTTTTTCATAGCAACATAAATTTATAGTAAGTGAATCATAATAACAACGTAAATTTTGAGGGACAAGCAAGAAACAAATGTTTAGAGATAGACAGGACACATACAAGTACAGACACGTATACTTCTCTTAGGCTGCCCCATGTGGCCCATCTGCCTGTATTTCAGTGACTCAGAGGACCATCAGTGCCTGGCTGGCTAGGAGTGTACATGTTGTGAAAGTATTAACACACTATGGCGAAACCATGGCAATCCGGTGTTGATGATTGTTGTGATGCAAGAGAACCAAGAGACCACTAGAGCTGAATTAAAGTAGAATAGAGAGCAGTTTATTAGCCAGCCGGCAACTGATACCGAGTTCTCCAGAGGGGAGTTTTCGGAAATCAGTCCCGACTTTAAGTTACATTTCTACTTAATAGGGAGGTTGTTTTTCAAACTTCTGTATCTGGGATTTCCCGATGGCCTTGGGGGAGAGCAAGCAAGCAAGTACAGAAGCAGAGGCGGTTACTGATAAGCAGAACTTGGCGTCAGCACATATCTGTGGTCAGGGTTGTAAAACATCCTGCTACTCAATCTATTTTCTAAGTTCTGAAAAACAAGAATTTTTATAATTGGCCTTTTTGTATTATTTTAATCAGGGTGTAGGCCAGCACAATGATTACTAGAGACGTTGATGACCTTGCCTCTGATGATTGACAAGATGTTGTTAACTTCTTTGTCGACACAGACAATAACTCCAATCCAATCTTTTTCCACAACTCCACGATCAACAATGCTCACAAAAACTGGATCTCAGATGAAGATTAAGGACATTATAATACACAGAAAAGACCTCAAGAGTTTATGATACAAATGCTGGATATGTTCCAAATCCAAGAGGCAGGATTAGAACACAGAATAATCATGTCGATTACAACACACATGCTGGATAATTATTAAAACTTAAGTGGTGTGATATCCTACAAATGGTGACTACAAAGAAAAGTTGATGCAGAGTGTTGATCTTTCCAAGAGAAATGGACAAATGATTCCTTTTTGCTGACGTCAAAGGTAGACCTGTGTGCCTAGTCTGTGGCAATGCATTAACAGTAGTGAAAAAGGCCAATCTGGAGCGTCATTACAGCTCAAAACATGCTAAACTCAATGAATTGGGAGGCCAAAATGTGTCTGGACAAAATCAATGCTCTTCAGCAGAGTTTGATATCACAACAAGCTGCTTTCACTAGGCCTAGTTGTGACAGACAACGTTATTCAGATGAGTTATATAGTGAGCGAGCTAATCACAAAGAAGCTGAGGCCTCACGTAGAGGGAGAGTTGGTAAAAGAGTGTGTAGTGGCTACTGCGGAGTTGTTAGCACCAAAGTAAAATTGTGTTAGTCTGGGAGAACCGTCTCAGATAGGATTACTGACTTAGCATGAGATACTGAAAAAACACTGAAGGATTCTGCAGGACATTTCCAGTTCTTCCCTCTGGCTTGTGACAAGACAATGGAAATAACAAATATTGTCCAATTGGCTGTTTTTGTTTGTTGGATAACTACCTAGAGTTTGACATGCAAAAGGAATTGCTGTCACTGAAAGCCATCCATGGTACTACAGGAGGTGAGGACTTGTTTGAGAGACTTGTTTTATCAATGAAAAAACTTGAGCTAACATTTGAAAAGTGCCTTCTTACAGATAGAGCTCCAGCCATGGTTGGCATGCAAAAAGGGTTAATTGCATTTGTCAAGAAAGAACTGAATTATCTCGATCTTGATCCAAGTGATTTGATTATATGCAATTGCATCATACACCAAGAAAGTCTCTGTGCACAGTCGTTGTGACTCAACGATGTGATGTCAACAATAATGTCATGCATAAACTTTGTCAAAAGCGGAATGTTTAACAGTTGCTAGTTTAAGGAGTTACTGAGTGATCTGGACTCTGAGTACTGTGAGCTTGTTTATAACTGTGAAGTGTGGTGGCTGAGTCAAGGGAACATTCTCATGAGGTTTTATGAACTGCAGGATGAAGTCAAGTAGTTCATGGAAATGAAGGGAAAACCTGTCAGGGAACTCAATGATAGCAAGTGCTGTGTGATTTAGCGTTCATGGTGGACATTACCATGTACTTCTCAGAGCTGAACGTCAAGCTGCAGGGCCCCAACCAGCTTCTCAGCTCCCTGCTTTCAAACGTGAAATCATGAAGCTAAACTAAGGCTGTGGGAAGTGCAACTCCAAAGGAGTAACACAGTGCATGTCCCCACTCTGGAAGAACAAAAGCCTTCTACAACACTTGAATATGATGGTAAATATGCAAAACTAAGTGAGGCATTTAATGAAAGATTCAAGGACATGAAAAGTAAACAAATAAAATTGAGCATCTTGGCTACACTGTTCAATGTGGAACCAGCTGATGTGCCTGATAACCTACAACATGAAATCATTTAGCTGCAAAGCGATGATGAGCTGAAAGCTAGGTACAACCTCCCACTGCTTGAGTTCTATAAACGTTACATAAACAAGGATGAATTTCCCACTTTGAGGAGACATGCATTGAAATATGCATCTGTATTCAGAACAACTTACTGCTGCTAAGTTCTTTTCGAAACTTACCACCGCAAAGAGTCAACTGTGCTCCAGGCTGACCGATGCAAACCTGGGAAAGCAGTTGTGAATAGCAACATCATCAATACCAGCCAACATCACACACCTCACCAAAGAGAAGCAGTTCCAGCCATCACCTTAGGAGTAAGTTAATTAAATGTTTGACCAGATAGAGCAGGCTGATGTTTATGTTGGTAATTCTGTGTGGCCCAAGAATGATGTTATAAATATCTAAATGGTCCTTGGCAGAAAAAAGGTGTCCCGCCTGGCTTTATTGCAAACTTAAAAAAAAAATTATTATGGATATTTTCAAACATACATTATGTAGAGAAAATAAAAAATGAATCCCCCTGCCCTGGCCGGTTTGGCTCAGCAGTTAGAGCATTGGCCCACGGACCAAAGAGTCTCGGGTTCGATTCAGGTCAAAGGCATATACCTCGATTGTGGTTCAGTTCCCCCGCCTTGGGTCGTGCAGGAGGCAACCAGTCGATGTGTCTCTTTCACTTTGATCTCTCTCTCTCCCCCTCCTACTCTGTCTGAAAATAAATGAATTAAAAAATAAAAATTGGCCCTGGCCGGTTTGGCTCAGCAGTTAAAGCGTCGGCCTGCGGTCCAGAGAGACCCGGGTTCGGTTCCCGCTAAGGGCACGTACCTCGGTTGCAGTTTGTCCCCGGCCCTGGTTAGTCATGCGGGTGGCAACCACTCATGTGTCCCTTTCACGTCAATGTTTCTCTCTCTCTCTTCCTCTCTCTCTCTCCCACTCTATCTGAACAAAAAATGGAAAAAATGTCTTCAGGTGAGGATTAAAAAAGTAAAATAAAATAATAAAATAAAAATTGAATCCCCTTTACCCATCACCCAGCTTCAAAACTTCAATATTTTTGCCATTCTTTTCTCAACTATTCCATGCTTCACTTTTCCCCCTTTCCCAACCTCCTCCTTCTCCTTTATTTTCTCCTTCGTCTTCTCCTCCTCCTCTTTTGCTTGAGTATTTTAATGTGAAACCCAAGCATCCTATCATTTTGCTTGTAAATACTTCATTATGTAACTAGGATATTGGCTTTGATGCCAACTAATGTCTAATCTGTGTTCAATCTTCTGCCTCAAAAATGTCTTTTTATTATTTTGTTTGAATTAGTATTAAAAATTTTCCACATGTTACATGGGGTGGAAATGTCTTAAATCTATAACGAAGCGTTTTTAAATGCTATTTATTTGTTGAAGAAACCAAGTCATAGAGTTTGTCCTTATTCTGGATTCAGCTGACACCTTTGGGTGTCTTGAACATATTCCTCCATCCTCAGTGTTCTTGTAAACTGGTAGTTAGATCTGGAGGCTCCATGAGATTCAAGTTCAGCATTTTGGTTGTGCCCTGTACCTCTGCTGCATCCCTCTAAGAGGCACTTAACGTCTGGTTGTCCACTTTTAGTGATATTCAGATTGATCAGATGGTTTGAGTATTGTCAGCTTCATCCATCCATAACAATTGACCTTCTACCAGATGGTTCTAAGCAGTTGTTTTGTAAAACAAATGATTGAAAACAACCATTCTTTAATGGTAGGGAGGGGATATACATGGGGAAATGATAGGAATCAAGATGCTAAAATGTTAACAAGTGGTTAATTTGAGTGTTGGGAAAAGAAGTAATTGTTTTCATTCTGCGTACGTAATTTTTTTTCAAATTCTCTAAATGGAAACAAAAGGAATCCTGCCTATGTATGTCTAACGAAGGTGAGACAGGGAAAAAGACTAGAGGACAAGTTCCAAATCCCAGTTCCAGGAAGGGCAGCCAGGGAATCCAGAGAAGGACAGCAGTGAATGTGGACCACAGTCCATTTTGCTTTGTTTTTGCCTGTCCAGTGTCTATTCCTCCTCCTGACAGCTCTTGTTCCCTTTAGGGTCTCGTCCCTCCTCTCCTGGATTCCAGTGTGGTGGAACTGTCATTAAAGGCAAAGCTCAGTGGCCAATTAGACCCCTTCGCCCAGGACTTTGGATCTTGAGTAGCATCACCTCCACGTGGAAGCCTTCCCTCCACTGGAACAGGTGACTCTCTTCTGTGCCCCCAGAGTTCCAGCTGTCAGAGCACTTATATGCTAGCATGTTTGTGTGCCCCCATCCCAGCTTGGGCAATGCCTGGAACATGGTGCTCAATGGCTGTTAGCTGAATGAATGATGCCCACATTGCTTACAGCTGATGAGGGCGTTGACTATTAGATAAAGATCACAGATACCCTAGAACAGATATTCTAGAGCAGCGGTTCTCAACCTGTGGGTCGCGACCCCTTTGGGGGTCGAATGACCCTTTCACAGGGGTCACCTAAGACCATCGGAAAACACATATTTCTGATGGCAATTCATAACATTAGAAAATTACAGTTATGAAGTAGCAACAAAAATGGTTTTATGGTTGGGGGTCACTACAACATGAGAAACTGTATTAAAGGGTCGCAGCATTAGGAAGGTTGAGAACCACTGTTCTAGAGAGTGTGGTAGCAGCTTCCAGGCCCTTCAGTCTAGCCCAGCCTGTGGCCACCTCTCCTGAGCCGGGGCACTCTTACCCAGCCAGTTACAGCCTTCCCTGAATCCCCACTGTCCCCAACCTGGCCTCTGTTCCTAAATAGCCCTCAGTTGTCCTGCTCCGCCCTGTGCAGAAGCTTGAAAGAGGTGAGGCCTGTGCTGAAGAGGTTTAGACTATCAGAAGAATGTAAATGTTTCTAGGATCAAATTCCTTATATCTGTTGTCCTCTTTCTTGCTTATGAAAAGAGAGGAAGTTAGTTTTAAAAATAGAGTGAGAAAGATAATTCAAATGATTATGTTTTACAGACTGTAGTATGGGGCTTAAAAAAATAAATGACAATATCTGCTTATCTTAGATTTTATCATTTCTTTTTTTTAAAAACTGGTATAATCCACAACAAAATTTACCATCTTAACAGTTTAAGTGTACAGTTTAATAATGTTTGAGTATGTTCACACTGTTGTGCAACCAATCTCCAAAAGGGGGCACAGGGAGGCAGTGCTGTGGAGGGCACCGAGGGAGGAGGGTTGGGGGTGGTGAGGATGTAGGCAGTAATTTCCACCTTGGTAATCTGAGGGTATCAGCTGGTTTTATTACAGCAGTGACTTACACATATGTGCAGAAAACACAGCTGAAGTGTCAAAGTGTGGCACTTAAAATATCGGGGCCCCTCTCATTTTACAAACGGGATCAAGGCCTGGAAAGGTGAGGTGATTAACTTGATGCCACACAGCAAGGTGGCAACAGGGCTGGGATTGGAATCAGGTCCCCTGGATCTCTGGCACCCCTACTACCCAGTTGCACCACGAGGTGGAGATCCCAGCACAGAATAAGCTGACTGGGGGCCAGGGAGGGGTCAGATAGGAGGAAGGTCCCAGGTGCAGGCCAGGAGCTAGAGAGGGACAGAAAACAGGAAGGAAAGGTAGGGCCCGTGAAAACATTTCAGAACTGGTGGCAGGAGCGGTGATGTCCCCAGACGAAGGGTGCTGTGCCAGTTAACTGACAGTGATGTTGCTGGAGGGAAGGACTTTAACGGGGGCCCAGGGGTCTGGAGAGCAGACAGTAACCTTATATCCCTTCTGGTACATGGTGGGGGCAGGGGTCACTGAGGTGGCCACAGTGGGGACAGGGCACCAAGGGGGACAGGCATGAAGGCGTCCCTGCAGAGGAGGGCAGGTGCGGCACCCACAGCTGCACGTGGCCCTCTGGCTCCTCCAGGTGAAGCTTCTTTGAGGTCCCTCCAAAGTCGGTCTCTTGCTGCCCTTCTGGGCCACAGTTCTCAGTCAGAGGGTGGGCCCTGCAGCTTAGGGAGCCCATGTCACACAGGGTGCTGCCTGTGGTCACCCTGCTGGGGCTGCGGGAGCTGTTGCGGAGGCTGCGGTGGTGGTAACAGGTCCCCAAGCCCAGGGCTTCCCGGAAGGTGTCCCGGAAGCGGCTGGACATGAGGCTATAGAGCACAGGGTTGGCGGCCGAGCTGAGGTAGAAGAAGACGCCGGAGACGACATGCACGTACTGGAAGGCCAGGAGCAGGCCGTCGGTCCATTCGGACACGGAGCTCCACATGAGTCGGTCGATGTGGAACGGGGCCCAGCAGATGCCAAACACCAGGACCAGCACAACTGCAGGGCAGAGAAGGGAGACTGGGTGTCTGCCGGAGCCCACTCCACTGCCTTCCCTGCTCCAGTGTGGTCCACTCATTCTCACCTCCTCTCCTATTCCACAGGCTCCCCGATGCCCACTGTGCATCTGGAAGTTTCTGGAAGTTTGCCTGCCTGGCCACACCCCTTTGGAGAGGCTGCTCTCACCACAGGCACTGACTGGGCAGGGGGTGTGCTCTGACCCTGGCTATAGCTGACTGGACCAGGAGTGGACATTTGAGTCAAGCTGGCCCAGCCCAACTGTCTCACCATGAAACTTGGAGCTGGGTGACTCTAAGCTGTGAATACTGAGCCCCAGGGTGACAAAGACTGTGAGGCTAACGCCCACTCTGGGTGCCCACTCGGGGACCATGCCTACTGATGCATAAGCAGGGAGAAGCAGAATAGGGCCCCCACTCAGACAGCAGTGGATGGGAGGTGAAGGGGCCAGAGAGGGCAAGACATACACACACCTCACCTTGCCTGCCTTGGCTCCAGAAGCCATCCAGCCCCAGCTGCCAGCTCTCCAAGGCCCAGCGGAGTATCCTGCTCTGCACTAACTGCCCATTACTCAGGAGCCCAGCCCCCACGTCCAGCAAAGGACAGCACAGGCTGGCCAAGCCTCACTCTTTCCCCCCAGCTTCCTTCCAGCCCTAGTCTTAGTCAGCCATGACTTCTTGGGTCTCTGTCATCGGGTCTGCTTTGATTTTTGTTTCTTAGTTCTCCCGTTTGCTCAGCTGACTCTCTCTATTCCCCCCACAGTGTCTTCCCCATCACCGCCCAGCGTGCTTTTCCTCAGTCCCAGACTGCAACGTTCCCAGCACACAGCCTGCTGCACAGTGGGCCTCCAGAAAGTGAAGGTGGGGAGGGACGGAAGGAGGGAGGAAGAGAAGAAAGCCAGAGCCCCAGGCCAGCAAGCAAGGCGGCTTTAAGGAAACAACCACCCTGTCCAGGGTGAGAGCCATCTCGGCTGCACAGACTTGGCTCCTGTGATCTGGGGGAGACTGAGGCAGGCGCGGGGGACAGAGCCCAGGTGGTCTGTAGTGCAGGCTTCACGGTGCAGAGCTGGGAAGCAAGCAAGGAGCTCCAAGGGATAACAAGTGACACCACACTCAAGGACACTGTTCCTAGGGGGCAGGAGGGGTGGGCTTCTCTCTGGGAAAGGGACAGTCCACACTTAGTTGGCTATAATCCCATGGCTTTGCCCAAGGCCTCACCGGCCCTGTCCTGCCCCGGCTCACCCCACCTACCTGACGGAGGCCCTGCTGAGGTGGAGTGAGAGGGGGCAGAAATCAATAATTGGCTTAGTATCCATTTGTTTTGCTTCCCTAGGGCCACTGTTTTTGAAAAAGAGCCAGCTCTAGGCCACAGTAAGATCCAGAACCTCAGTCCAGCGGGGCATGCCCTGGCCGGCCCCAGTCCACACTGCTGCCCTGATTCTCCTAAGCTCTGCACACCGACCCTCACAAACACGCTCCTGACAGTCCTTTTAGACAATGGTCACTCCTGTGGTCACGAGGGGACTGCAGACATACATGGAAGAAATTCATCATCTTGCCTCTCTAGCTGCCCCCAGACCCCACCATGTGGTTCTGTGGGGGTTAGTCACTTCAGCATCCTGTCATTCTGGCCTGGGGGTGGGCCAGGACCTAACCCCACCAGTCAGAATCCTTCTCTGGAACGTTTCAATAGCCACTAAAGAAAGTAGTTCCTCAGGAAAGTCCTTGGCCATACCATCCAGGTGGATGTAGGGAAGGACAGAGCCAAGCCATGTTCAGGAGCCAAGATGAGAGATGTGGATGGTCCAGATGCCATGAACAGCTCTGTCATCCTGGAGCCCAGCCAGGTGCCCCTGCCCTGTCTGTGGTTTGCTTCCATGAGCCAGGGCTGGCTTCACGTGTGTGCACCTGTGCATTTGCACAGGGTCCCGAGTTTAAAAGCATTTAATGCTCTACTGTTGCTGTCTTGACATTCTTACTAACTTTAAAACAAGGAATCTGAATTTTCATTTTATACCGGGCCTGCCATGAGACATTACCATTTATCATTTATCTTTGATGTTAGTTTCTAAATGAGCATTCTTGCATGCACGCACAAGCATGCACGTACCTGCGCACGCACGCGCGCGCACACACACACACAAGGTGGAGTGTGTGATTCCAATATCACACACATAAACTCAGACAGCCCCCCCCAGACCCTGGAAGCCCCAGTCTCATACCCAGTGCCTCGCTCAGCCCCTCTCCCCAGCAGCAACACTTACACAGCATCTTGGTCACCTGTGTCCGACTCCTATCCTGTAGTTGCTGGAACCTGCCTCTGTTGCTGGACCTGGCGCTGCTCTTGGCCCCCTGCCTGAGCAGCAGCAGCCTGTCACGCCGCAGCTGCAGCCCAATGAGCAGGTAGAGCACACTGATGGTGGCCATGGGCAGGCAGAAGAAGAACAGAGTGGTGGTCTGCATGAGCAGGTTGTAGAGGGCTTTTGAGTGGACCAGCGTGCACGTCGCCGAACCAGGCACCGGACCCCGGCAGGGCACATCCAGCTGCTGGATGCCATGCAGGCTGGTGTTGGGCAGCGAGCAGAGCACAGCAAGGCCCCAGACAGCTCCGAGCATGCGGCGCACGTGGGCCTGGGTCATCACGGACCTGGCCTGCAGTGGGTGCACCACGGCCACGTAGCGCTCCACACTCAGGGCGGTGACATTGAGCACAGAGGCCAGGCAGACTGTCTCAAAGAGCAGTGTGCGGAAGTAACAGCCACCAGCACCCAGCAGGAAGGGGTAGTTATAACACATCTCATAGAGCTCCAGGGGTAGGCCCACCAGCAGCACCAGCAGGTCCGATATGGCGAGGCTGAAGAGGTAGTAGTTGGTGGGTGTGCGCATGACTTTGTGGCGAAGGATGACTATGCAGGTCAACCCATTGCCCACGGTGCCCACCACGAAGATCAACAGGTATGTGATACAGATGGGTATGAACAGCTCCGTCTGCTGGGGCCCTAGGTACTTGAGTCTCAGCTCCTTGTCAGTCAGGGTCAAGTCCTCAGGCTTAAAGGGCCCCCAGTCCCAACTGCCATTGCAGGGCACTGGGCTTCTTGCACCCCTGGGGGACATGTCTCCAGGGAAGATGGAGCAATTGAGGCAGAAAGGAACCTGTGGAACAGAAGACAGAGACACCCAGAAAAGTCATTCAGGGAACTCTGGCTCTGTCATATTCATCAAACCAAAGATGCTATTATTTTAGGTATTGCTGAGAAAGAAAAAAACTCTGTCATCCATTGTAGATGCATTACAACTTCAGAGATGTAAACATGTACGTCTAAAAAATGATAAAGCCCTAGCTGATGTGGCTCAGTTGGTTGAGCTTCATCCCATGCACCGAAGGGTTGCCAATTCGACGCAAGTAGGGGCACATACTCAGGTTTGGGGTTTGATCCCTGTTTGGGTGTATCGGGTAGGCAGCCAATTGATGTTTCTCTCTCTCTCCCTCTCATAATAAAAACATATATATATATATATATATATATATATATATATACACACACACACATAAAAAGTGGACTTCAATTTTAAATTTCACAATCTATTGAAAACTTTGACTAAAGGATGAATCCTCTTAAGCATGGTCTTTGCCATCACTGGTCTTCCCTTGGATCTCTCCCCTTTCAAGCCATAGACTTTGGGACAGGTACTCAGTTTGGGCATCTGTAATATGGGCACAGTGTGCAGTATCACATGGTCTTTAAGAACAAGGGCTCTGGAGGCAATTGCTTGGGTTCAAATCCAGCCTCCCCAATCCCAGGCTGTGTGACCATTTGCCTAGTAACCTCTCTGCAGCTGTTTCCTTATTACAAGGATTGAGGGAGTTTAATCCATAAAAGGTATTAACACAGTGACTGCCTAACACACAGAAGGCCAGGTTATCAGTACCTCACTGAGGGGACTGAGTCATGGAGGGGATCAAGGTTAACACTGTAACACTGATCCAAAAGTTGGTTCTTGTTTCTGTTTCCCATCACCTGAACTGTTAGATATTGAAATATTCGACACCCTTAACATTGCCAGTTCTAGGGTTCCCTCTCCTTTCTCGGGCTGCCCATCTCTGTCAGTCCACCATATACAGTGATTAAGAACCAAGGCCATGGTGCTAAATAAACTGGCCTAGGATTAAATGACAGCTCTGCTCCCTGGCCAGTTTGGCTCAGCTGTTAGAGTGTCAGCCTGCGATCCAGAGAGACCCGGGTTCGGTTCCCGCTAAAGGCACCTACCTCGGTTGCAGTTTGTCCCCAGCCCTGGTTGGGTCGTGCGGGTGGCAACCACTTGATGTGTCCCTTTAACATCGATGTCTCTCTCTCTCTCTCTCTCTCCCTCCCACTCTATCTGAACAAAAAATGGAAAAATGTCCTCAGGTGAGGATAAAAAAAAATGCCAGCTCTGCTATGCTCTAGTGGTGACCTCCCCTTACAGTGCCTCAGTCTCCTCCTCTGGGAAATGGGGGTGTCAACAGAGCCTACCTATAGTTTCTGTGAAGATGAAATGAGAGACTACAAATAAGTTCTCAGGAGCACACATGGTACATTTCAGGTGCTCAGTTTCAGTGCAGAGTAACAGGATTCTTACTCCCGGGGGGAAAGGGTAAGCCAGTCCAGAGAAGAGGGGACAGCAGCCTCAGACTGTCCTCAGCCTGTTCCCAAAGCCCACCCCCACCATCAACCTTCCCCTTTGAGCAACCGGATTTTCAGGCTTGGTTCCTGGATCCCTTATTCCTTCAGCCCATTTCCTCTCTCCAGTGGAGATGGGGCGGGGGGAGATTGGGGCGTCCAGTTGCCTACCTGCCCTGCACCCACCCTTCAACTTTCTTTTCTAGGTCCTTTGCTCTCCCAAATCCCAAGTATTCTTCTTTTTTCTTCTTTCTTTCTTTGTTTAAATTTATTGTCCTCACCCCAGGGCATTTCCCCATTTTTTGTTTAGATAGAGTAGGAGGGAGAGAGAGAGAGAGAAACATCGACGTGAAAGGGACACATCCAGTGGCTGCCACCCACATAACCCAACCAGAGCTGGGGACAAACTGCAACCGAGGTACGTGCCCTTAGCGGGAACCGAACCGGTCTCTCTGGACCGCCGGCCGACGCTCTAACCGCTGAGCCAAACCGGCCAGGGCCCCTGGCATTCTTAATCCCCAGTATCTTCCTCCTCTCCAAAACCTCTACCCAGAAGTCGCCTCCAGCCTCCCGGCCCGCCCCACACCTAATCCCCGCATCTTGGGAGCCAGGCGCATTTTCATCCACTCCCACGTTGCCCACCCCCTTCAGCTCCCCTGCCCCTGCTGGTGCTGGAGCTAAGGGCGGGAGCCGCGGGGATGAACTGGGGCGGCGCAGCGCAGACCAGGGGTCAAGGGAGGCTCCCTCCACCACTGGGGAGGGTCGCCGCGCCGGAGTCCCCAGCTCCGCACACGTGCGCGTGGCTCGCAGTAAGACAACCCGGGAGGCTGCGAGTCCCTGGAGATGGGGCTCCCCAACAGGACCCTCCGATCTCTGCCATCCTGGGGAGATCCAGCCCACGCGCTCCGCCCGCCTTTTCTCGCCCAAGCCCCTGGCCCGCGGCGCGCCCAGTCCAGCCGCCGCGCCCTTGCCCACGCGGGCATCCCGCTCACATACCATGCGGTCTGCTGCACGCGAGATCCAGGGGCGAGGAGCCCACCCGATGGACAGATGGGGCGCCAGGAGCCAGTGGACTGGCGAACTGGCCAAATGACTGCGGCCGTCCCGCGGGCAGCCCTCCCGTCGCCCCGCCTGCCGGTGGCCCGGGTGCCCCGCCCGGGACCGCCCCCAGGGGGCAAGGCCGCCCACGCAGCCCGCTTGCTCCGCGGCCGGACCCAGACACACTCACCTGGGGCCACCCGCACACCCACCCACCCAGAAGAAAGCGGTTGTGTTACCAAGCGCTGACCGGGCGCTTCCAGCAGCACCTTCACCTCTCGGAACCCTCACAAAAACCCATTTTACAGATGAGAAAACGGCCTCAGAAGGATGAAACCCCAGTGATGATGAGTCTCACACGCTGTTCCAGCCCCGCAAATGCTGACTTTTAGCATAACCCCTTACTAAGGTGTCTCTCCAGCCCCACCTCCTCCCACCCCACATTTCAGAAGTGCCTCCAAGGACATCCCACCAGACCCTCAAAGTTCATGAGCCCCCAAAGGTCCCATCCTGCCTCCCAGGCTTCACACCAGCCTCTTTCTTCTTCCTCTCTCTGTCCCAGGCTCCAAGACAGCAGTCTCCACCCTTCTCCCGTGGGGTCCTCCAGCCCCCGAGGTTCTCTCCCTCTCCCAGGATCGCGGGAGTCTCCATTCTCCAGTCTGTCCTCCCAGCCCCGTTTCCTGAGCCCCAACACATCACGCCTCCACCTGAAACCTTCGGTAGGGCCCTCCTCCTGCACACACACAAGTGTAACCTGATGTTAGACCTCCAGGGCCCCCGCTTGCCTTCCTGGTTCCCCTCACTACATTCTCTCACCCCAATACCCTCCCTCTCTTCTACTCAGAGGTCCCCCCCCCCCCCCGCCCCTCTCATCTGATCGCAGGATGTCCAAGGAGGGAAGGGGGCTGTTTTCAGGGAAGAGCCAGGGATGCTGGGACCTCAGCCTCCTCCTGCTCCCCCAAACTGGACACATATAAATCCAGCAGGGGACAGCTTCCTTACTCTGCCCCCACCTCTGACCAGCTCCTTAGCTGGAAATTATTTCATCAGGAATTTGCAAGGGGATATGTGGACCTCACAGGCTAAAACGCGGGCTCTTGGGCCTCTTCCCAGAGTCTGATTCACCTAGTGGGGACAGTCACGAACACCTTCCCCAGAGCCCCAGGCCCCAGAATCACACTTTGAGAAGCACTGGGAGGGATTAAGCACAAAGCCCGGGACCCAGAAACGCCTGTGGGAGCTGTGTGAATGGGAGGAGACTCAGCCCCTCTGTGCCTCAGCTCCCTTTCTGTAGAATGTGCTAACCACTGTCACCACTAATGTCAGCGTACGATGAGACAGAGTGCGGACTCAGCACAGGGCTCTACATATGTCAGCACTCAAGGAAGTCGGGGGGAATTACCTCCGTTTAGTGACAACCGGAAACAAGACCTCCTTTCTGCAGATTTTGCCTGCCCACCAGGCCCTGAGTCTGGCCTTGGCAACGGGGAGTTCGACCCTCTCGAAGCCTGCGTCAGGCCTGCCTTCTCAGGAACTCCACATGTAAACAGAGCTATAGGCACAGGGAGGTTGCAGACATGCAGGGAAGATGGTCTCCAAGTCCTTGGGGTAAAGGATTCTGGAATTTCCCAGAGTTAACTACTGAGCCCCAAATGAGTGAGCCCAGGAGAGCTTTCAAGACCAGGGCTGCCATCATATCTGATGAGCAGCGAGGGGCAGGCGGCATCACGGGGAAACATGGGGTCACAGACAACACGCCGCATGTGATTAGCGTTGTCGACCCCCACACTGGAACATGTGCACTCGCACACTCACACGCACCACTTTGACACTTTGCACAGACTCTGAGCCACCTGAAACCCACTGTGGACCCTCTGGAGGTGCTCAGAGCTCAGGAAATGGTGGAGAAGGCCCCCTTCTCTGCCTCACGGAGGCAGAGTGGCTCCCACTGGCCAGGAATTCCTACAGCTGCCTGCATCACTCACAGCATTTGCGACCATCAAAGACCACATCGAGCTAAAGGGTAGCCCCCCAAAAGAAGAGGACCAGTGGCCATTGATGGCCATAGCACCGTCCAGAGGGCCCTGGGTGCCCTGGGCTCTGGGCCTGAGCTCAAGGCCACCATGGCAGCATGCCCCATCAGAACCCGATCACACCCTGCTGCCTCCCTACTCTGTCCTGAGGTGGCTCCCCAGGGCCATGCCCATGGTGGGGATACTCACAGGGCTGAGACCTGGAGTAAACGCATCCCAGGTGTTGAATACCTCAATCTCCTGAGCTTGGCTGGTTGGCAGCTACCCAGGCTAAGGGCCAACTCCACATGACAGCATTCTGCCAAGGGAGATTTGTGCTTAACCCTTCCCACTGCTCCTCAAAGTGTGATTCTGGGGCCTGGGGCTCTGGGGAAGGGGTTTGTGACCTCCCCAGGAGCTGGTTGGGGTGCCTCCCAGGCCCTAGAGCATGCTGAACTAGCCCCACAGCGCCTCCTCACCCTGCTGACTCCTGCACTTTCCCTGGGGAGCCGTGTTGGTACCCAGCTTGCTCTGGAACATTTGGTAAAAACTCAAGAGTTCCCTGGTTGGGGTCTGGTGCCCTCCACGGGATCACGGCATGTGGCTGCAGCCGAGATGACTTTCCAGAGATAACTTTCCAGAGATGAAAATTTTATTTTTGTTCTTAGGAGACATGTTGCTTAGATGTTCTATTTCTGTTTCCTCATCTGTGAAATGGGGATGACAGCAGACCTACTCCATGACGTTTATTATTAGGGTTGAAGGAAATAAGGGGTACTTTGCCCAGAAAGCACTTTGGCCAGCACTTGATGACTGCTTTTCTTTTTTCTTTTTGTTGTGAATGTTAGAGAAAAAGACAGACAGACATAGATTTGTTGTTCCATTTATTTATGCAGTCATTGGTTGCATCTTGTATGAGCTCTGACTGGAGATCGAACCCACAACCCTGATGTATCGGGACAACGCTCTAACCAACTGAGCTACCCAGTTAGGGCTGTTTTTCATATAAACGAAAATAGGCGCACATCTCAGAAAGTTGGTGCAACACTGAACAAAAGAAAATGATTGGCAATCCTGTCCTGAAGGCAGTGAGAAAGAATAACCCAGAGGCTTCTTTCTCCCCTGGGAAGGGGGGTGTAGAGAGAGGGAAACCGAGGGACAGAGAGGCTATGGCTCGGCGGCCAGGCCCTTTGGGACATAGGTGCCCGGCAGTCCTTATTCTCCCTTGGGTGGTCTCGCTAGGATGGTGCTTCGCGGCCACTCACTCAGAAAGCTCTGTTTGTGTAGAGGCGCTGTAAACAAGGTTGGGGTGAGTGGGGTGGATCGGGTAGGCCTTTATTCGGGCAGGACCATTCTGTCAGGCTGGACCCAACCTCGGAGGACCCCAAAGGTCCCAGGAAGACCCTGGGTCCACCTACTCAGGCCCGCTCTTTCCCTGAGCAGGAAGGGGACAAAGGCCTCCTCCGTGGGAGGGAGAGCGGTGGCAGCAAGAGCAAGACCTTGGGGACAGTCAGTGTGACCCGGGGCCAGTCCCTCCCCCTCCAACCTTCTTCCTGTGCAGAATGGGGACACATATCCTCTTCCCAGTGCTGCTGAGAGGGGGACCAGCTGGGTCATTCCAGTGGCCGGCCCGTGGTCTGTGCACCCGAGGCCCTTCGGAGGGGTGGTGGCATCTCTTGGGGCATCAGATTCTGAAGTTGACAGCAGTTATCTCTTGGGGATAAACTAGGGTGGGAAGGGGGAAGGTAATTCTTTTTGTTTTCAGTTTTAAATGTTTTCTTCAGTAGTCAACATTCGTTCCTTCTATAATAAGTACATGTGTAAGTACGTATTTTCTTCATTTTATGTATTTATTTGTTTGTTTGTTTGTTTGTTTGTTTGTTTTTAATCCTCACCTGAGGATATTTTTCTATTTATTTTCAGATAAAGTGGGAGGAAGGGAGAGAGAGGGAGAGAAAGGAAGAGAGAGAGACAGAGAGAGAGAAACATCGATGTGAGAGAGACCCATCAACTGGCTGCCTCCCTCACAACCCTAACCAGGGCTGAGGACAAACTGCAACCAAGGTACATGCCCTTGACTGGAATCGAACCGCAACTCCTAGGTCCATGGGCTGATGCTCTAAGGACTGAACCAAACCATGGCAATAGTTTCTTCATTTTATTTTATTTATTTATTTTATTTTTAATCCTTGCTTGAGGATATTTTTTTTTATTTATCTTCAGATAGAGTGGGAGGGAAGGAGAGAGGAAGAGAGAGAGAGAAACATTGATGTGAGAAGGACACATTGATTGGTTGCCTCTCCCACGACCACAACTGGGGCTGGGGACAAACCACAACCGAGGTATGTGCCCTTGGCCAGGATCCAACCTGGGCCTCTGATCCAAGGGCCGGCACTCTAACCACTGAGCCAAACCAGCCAGGGCAATATTTTCTTCACTTTAAAAAGCAGTTCCTTGGCCCAGCCGGTGTGGCTCAGTGGTTGATCATCGACCCATGCAGCAAGAGGTCACTGGTTTGATTCCCGGTCAGGGCACATGTGCAGGTTGCAGGCTGAATCTCCAGGAGGGGGCATGCAGGAGGTGACCAATCCATGTTCTCTCTCATTGATGTTTCTATCTCTCTCTCTCTCCCTCTCCCTTCCTCTCTTTCTAAAATCAATAAAGAAAAATATTTTAAATAAATAAATAAAATAAAATAATAAAAGGCAGTTCCTTGTTTATTTCTGGTGGCTTGCCTCTGGCCAAGCCCTTTCTTTGGATCATCAATAGGGTCAGGTCTTGTCTGGGCAGAAGCCTCTCAAGGATGGCTTGGGAGAATTTGGACACAAAGGACGGTCATTGTCACCTCCAGCCAGTCACACTCCCTGGTGCACCAGGGGCCCCCTCCATGTGGCTGCCATTTGTCATCCCGATTATCACATTCTCCACCGTGTCACCCCTACCATGCACGTAGGACCCCAGGCCCAGTGTGAGGAAGGAGGGCTACACACAGCCCCTTTCCTCCCCACCTTGGCTGCCAGGCTCCCGACCATCTG